TCAAAACATTAACTATCCCTTGAAAATGTCTCACATTACTTGCATCCTTTCCTCTTGTCCATAAAGGCTAAAGTGTGTGTGTTTTGTGTCCCTGCATAAAACTTTTTTCACGCCTCATATTGCTCATTACAGCATTTCCCTTCCTACACAGCAGGGGGTGGTAGAGAGCCATGAAATGTACTGTCAACAGCTACTTCAAACTCTAACAGAACGTCTTGACTTCAAATCATGTTTATACAATCAATCACCAGCAGTCACTTTATTTGTAAAACACCTTTCATTGAAACAGGAGCCTGAGGTGCTTCACAGATGACTGAAATTTCAGTAACAGGATGTAATAAATGCTGTAATAAAAGCAATAAAACTAGATTAAAATCTAGATCAAATAAGTTAAAAAAAACCCCAAAATATCATAAAGTAAAATTGGATAAGCAATATAAGTACAATAAAGCTAAGCTAATAAAACAGGATTACTGAAAAAGCAGATATACTTAAATGAAGGAAATGTCTGAAAATCTCTGATGGGTAACGTGTATCGATAATGTGCAGGAAATTTAAGTGTATTTGGATAACTTATCAATTACAGTTACAAACAAATGTGATTAAGAACACTTCACACTGGTCTAATGTGATCCCTGAGTCTATTTAAAATAATCAAAAGTATAAAAGGCTGCACTCAGGCAAGTGAGAAGTTTTTATGTTTTTGTTCAGTGTTTTTCCACACATGAGAACAAAGGAAAGGCAAAATCATATCTGACTTTAAATCACAGTAAAACGATCAGTATCTTGCTATTGTGCTTTGGATTAGTTTATGTTTATGAAACTGGTGACTAAGCTGATTGTATTTCCTCTCGTCGTCCTCTACAGGAGGCTTTGGAGGCCTGTCAAACCAGGATCTCTAAGATGGAGCTGCAGCAGCAGCAACAGCAGGTCGTCCAGTTGGAGGGGTTGGAAAATGCCACAGCCCGGACCCTCCTGGGAAAACTTATCAATGTGCTGCTGGCCCTAATGGCTGTCCTTCTGGTCTTTGTTTCAACTGTGGCCAACTGTGTGGTCCCTCTGATGAAGACGCGCTCACGCTCGCTCTCCACCCTCCTCCTCATCCTCCTGCTGGCCTTCTTGTGGAGAAACTGGGACGCTCTCTCGGGGTATACGCACCGTGCACTGCAGCCCCCGGGATGACCAGATTACATTCAGCACATGTTGCTTTGGTGACAACAAGAAATGTAACTGTAGCTGCAGTCTGCAGTCGGTTCAGCTGAGCACATTCGGAAGCGGCCTGGATAAAGAGCAAGAAGAAGTGTGAAGAAGAGTGAAGAAGAGAACATTCACATTTAGGAAGGACAAGACTGTTTACATTTTTAAAATGAACTTTTGTGTTGTTATTCCTCACAGAATGCAGTATTGTACTGTTTTTACCCTTAGAGTTTAATCAATTATAATGTTATTTCTAATAATATTATTTTATTTTCAATGTTATTTTATTCAGTACCATGTAGCATTACACTCCTCTCACTCTACACGAAGAGGAGTTTAGTCAGGAAACTGGGCTGGAGAGCTGCCACAAAGGCCCAGTCTAATTGTAGAGACATGCAAATGTGAGAATGCGGTTGATTGCCTTTAGGAAGAGAACTCCTACTTAGCTGTGATTAGTAGTTTTGAACCATGGCTGAAAAACCTTCCTGGAAGTTTCACCTTTCTTGCTGTGATGAAATTTGTTCAGATAGAACATTTTGAAGGAATGAGCGTCATGCTGACGTACAATTTCTAATGGCAAAGATCGCTTTTACCGTTTTTTAAAGTTAAAAAAGAATTGAAAATAGGGAAGATAATGAATGGCACAAAGACTCTAGAGGGGAAAGCTGAGATGGTGTGCCCACCATAAAAACAGCACATGAATACTACAGAGAACATCTGGCTGCTGTCTAGCACTTGCCATATTTGAAACTTGTATACAGTGCTGCACGTTGTCATGAAGAAAATTACTTTCAAAGCAGATTTACTTTTAAAAGCGATGATAAAGGGCTGTTGTCCAAGTAAAATTAGGTTGCCAGGACAATTGGCCTCCCACCACACCATTATGATGTGATCAAGTTAAGGAAGAAGGGGAGACCACTGGTGCTTTTCCAGTTCTGTCTCAGAACCACCATGAATACTGCTGCTTCAAATCTACAGTGCAAGTCATCTCCACTGCCATGCCAGTCAAATGCACATTGCCTGTATGTGACTTTATACTACTGACACAGTCTCCCTGCGTTTTATCTTTTCTTTCTTTCTTTTTTTTTAAATGTACCACCGTATCTCTATGTCAAGGTGTTATCACCCAGTGCCAAACTGAAGTTAGCCCAGGGATGCCTAAGCACCCCAAAGGTCCAAGCAGCAGCTGTGGCTTCTTTCCAGATATGTCATGAATGTCTTGCCAGATGCAACTTTTGTAAGGGGGAAAGTAATTCGCAATCTGAACATGACCTTGCCTCCAGATGCTCAGTAGTGTGTTTCTACACATTTTGCTTCCATGAGTAGAGCTCCTTGGCTCGGCATTTGGCCTCTCTTTTACTCTCACTTTCTAACCTAGTCAAGGACACTACAAGATGACCTAGCACGTTAACTAGTCTGCACTGTATTTAATGCCAAGAAGCTGATTTCCTAACAGACATTGTGATCATTTGAACTGTACAGCTGCACTTTAGCACACTGATAGATAGCATGTAGGTCAGGCCTTTGATAGAGACTACAAAGCTTGACACTCTCTGAGAAGAGAAGCGCTGATGCAGGTTGAAACTGCTGACATGCTTTTCTACAGGAAATAAAAAAACAAGGAAATTCAGTGCATTTTTTTTGTCAAAATGTGAGTAAACTTGATTCCTCTCAAGTTGAACCGCAGTAGGCAGATTTATTGATCTGTCAGTGATGTGTAATCAAAGGTACAATAGACAAGTTGGGAGTGAGCTGACCTTTGACTTTAGTTTGTCCTTGCAGCAGCACCTCTGATCTTGGGTTGTGTGCTAAACCACTTCAGTGCCTTCTGATGTCCTTTTCTAAGTGTGGAATAAATAAAGTGCATTCCTGACTAATTTATGCACATTCCGTATTTCTTCAAAAGACCTGTTTCCTTTTTGTTTATTTATTTTCTTGTGTGTCTGATGCTTCTTCGCAGTGTTGTAGTGGAAAGTGTGCTTTTAAAGTCATCTTGCAGATGCGTTTCATGACCGCTAGATGGAGCTCGTTTACCTTGACGTTCCTTCAGTATGAAAGCCGTGCTCAGTTTGTGTGAATGGTGTGCTCTAAGGGTGGGGAGAAGAGGTGTGACTTCTTATCAGGAAGGAAACAGGTTCTGACGAGGGGGTCTTAAATGCCAAAAGTTAGCTTGTGCAGCAACAGATATTGTTTTTATTACAAACGAAAGATCGGATGTACCCCCACTTTATTCCACTGTAATGCACCCACACATGGAGCCTAATTCGGTTCAGTGTCGTTTTCTTGATTGAGCTGCACCAAACCGCAGCGGTCACGCCTCACTATGGATATTTGATGCTGACAGTTCTGCCCCAGACTGCGCCTTGTCCCTGCATCCCTGCCAGACCTCATTGTAGCCGCTAGCTCCCTACTCCCTGACGAAAGTCTGCACTTACATGCACGCGCACTGTGTCGAGACTATTTGGCTCATTCATTGTGCTCTGCACTTGGGGGGTCATTATATTGCACTTTATTGGAGCACTTTGCTCCTTTTCTACACTGCCAGATTTGATGCGCATGGCTGTGCGCCAAGGTAAACACGGAGCGCACTTATCTACCCAACTGAAAGCTGCAAGTAGAGATTGGGGGTTGGGGTGGGAGGGTGTGGAGAGAGAGTGGGTTTGTCCCCCAGAGGAGTACGCAGTAAATAGGCACAAGCGATTGCTCGCGATTTAGCATCAACTTTAATTATTTCATGTATTCAGAGATAACACTTTTCTCGGGCTCCCCTGCAAACTGATTTATGCAGCGTCTGACTCACTTGTTGTCTTTCCTCGACTAAGAGTCATTCATTTCTATTCAGAGATGTGAGCATATGCACACTCCGTCGAGAAAGAAAAAAAAGGGGGGGAATGCTAACCATATTCGTGCATTTTTGAGTGGGGGCACATGTGTTGCGCTTGAATATTTATGAGGTAAAACGTGCAAAAGCAGTGTTGGATAGATGTGAATGTCAAAAACCGGAAAGGTGTGCTGATGTGCCCATCTGGTAGCACTTTCACGGTCTTTACCGTGCCGTATGTGCCCAAAACGAAACCCTCCGGATCTGCAGAACTAATCTGAGAGCCGAGGGACCGGGAAGCACAGGAGGTGGGCTTGTGACCCGCCATTAACCCCAAGATGAGCGGAACCACGCACGGGTGGAGACTCATCAAGTGGCTCACCTTGAAAGGAAGATGATCATTATGACTTCATATGGCACGACTTCACATTATGTCTTAAATAATAGTTATTGTACCTGAGTGATTGAAAGGAATCAGGATCTAATCAACGAACGAAGATCAATCACAGCTGACTGGGCTGACAGAGCGCTTTGATGGGACGTTCCATTAAGAGGGAGGCAGTGCCATTTTTCAGGGTTAATGAGTTAACGCCCCATGCTCGCAGCAAAGTCTAGCTTTACTAATATTTGTAATCGAAGAATGCTTAGCTTATAAATAAATATAAATATATATTTTTAAATAACCAGCGCTGAAACCTGACTCAAAATAAGTTTGTCCTTTGTGAGGCGATGTCCAGAAAATGCACAACACCAAATCAGTTGGAACTATTTATTCCCTGTTGTCTATTCTGTCAAGATGATTAAAATATCACCCAGGCGGTGTGGCTCAGTGTGCCCCAGGAGAGTGACTGCTGAGCTGCACGATAGGCAGAGAGGGACAGAGGAGGCAGCCTGAAAAGGAAGCACGACTCGCTTATCGCGTCACTGTGGGTTTAGGCGTTGAGCAGGAAACAGTCTTTCCTCTCGGGTTGTCGCAGTAGGAACAAACACACATTTTTGTCTTTGCTCAATGCACCCCTCGGCACAGAACACGCGGAAGCCGGTCAGAAGGAAAAATGCCTCCTTCGATAGAGATAGCCGTCCTGCTTCTCGGCGTCCTGGCTTTGGAGACGCGCCGGAGTGCCAGCGCGCTGCACATCCAACAGGCTTTCGCGTCTCCAAATCAGACCAATAACTTCGTGGTGGATCCAGTGTCCAGAAAAGTCTACCTGGCTACCGTTAACACAATTTACCAGCTGAATGGGACCTTGACAGCTGAAGTGGAGAAGAGGACTGGACCGGTGGAGGACAACCTGTTGTGCCATGCGCCACAGCTTCCCCAGGCTCCCTGCGAGCATCCCAAATCCCTCACTGACAATTACAACAAGCTCCTGAAACTGGACCGGGAGCAAGGGATCGTGGTTGCGTGCGGATCTGTGTATCAAGGCTTCTGTGAGCTCAGAAAAATGGATAATATTTCAGAGATAGCGGTGGAGTTCCCACCCCAGGGTGAGAAGACTGTTTTCCCCAGCATGCTGAACATCGCTGCCAATCACCCGAACGCATCCACCGTGGGGCTCATCTTCAAAAGCCACGGGGGAAACACCCGGCTTCTGGTTGGGGCAACATACACAGGGGCTGGAACCCAGTTTTTCCCAAAAAACCACAGCAAAGAAGATCTGCGTTTTGAAAACACCCCGGAGATCGCCATCCGCTCCTTGAACATCAAGGATTTATCCAGACTTTTCACCTATGACATTAACCCTTCCGAGGATAATGTATTCAAGATCAAACAAGAGGTTAAAACCAAAAATAAACTAAACTTCATACACGCGTTCATCCAGAAGACTTATTCATACATTGCCTTCAATAATGATGCGAAAATGGGCCACAAGGAGAGCCAGCCCAACAGCATCCTCGCGAGGATATGCCTGGACACCGAGAACCCCCGAAAATCCACCGGGCCAGAGAGCAGGAAGCTCACTGAATCCTACATCCAGATGCCTTTACAGTGTGGATTTAACGGGAACATTTACAACCGGGTTTTGTCCGTGTACCCCACGGAGATCCACGCAGGTGATGGGAAAAGCCCCGAGCCATACTTGTTTGGAGTGTTTTCTAAGGGAGACAGAAAGTCTGCACTTTGCGCTTTCAAGTTTGGAGACATCGAGGAGGAGATACGGCAAGGCCGCAGGAACTGCTCAAACTCTCCCAGCAGCGACGTTCAGGTGCTGGACAGCGTGATACAGGGCTCCGGTTCAGCCTGCATCCAGAAGGGAAACCTTGTGGTAAGGGCGTTGTACACATTTAATTAGGCGATATAAAAATACTTAATTTATGTAATTATTTTCATCTGATTTTAAGCTGCCATGTTAATGAAATATATACATTCTGTCAAATAAAACGCACTCTAAAACTTAGCATAAGCTTTGCTGAATACGAAACTTATTTTACAGATTAGTTTATCCATTTCTTGACATGAAAGTGAGAAAAAACAAGTCAGCGTCACTGAGATATTTTCTGCATCATTATTTCATATGTTTTTATTTCTTTTCTCTTCGTTATACTGGGTGCCAAAACGTGCTCGTCCAATAAAACTGCTTGAGATTTATGAATCCTCTTGGCCATTACAGTTGTTCAGGCTGCAATAAGATTTACTCCCTCACGTCTGCTGCTACTCTCTGGTTTATGCTTACGGACAGTTATCCTCTTTAACCCTCAAACTGTTGACTCAAAGAAAGGATCTCCCATGTTAGGAGTAGAGGTCATGATAGCTGGAAAGACCCTCTAGAGCCACACTGAGGGTTGTGGGAAGGGTGAGACTACTCTCATATCCAGCAACTCTCCCCTTTTTACAAATGTGAGGATTGTAAGGGGTCAGTAGTTTACTATGTTTTCCAGTAAAATCCCAGACATTTTTATTTAGTGTGTGCTTCTGACTGAAGTTCAACTCTAAATTTAGCCCAATGTTTGACCGATAAATAGCTCCTCTGTTCCAAGCACGTGATCAAATATTATCATGTGTATTTTATTACAATCTTCCTACTCATACATGTGTCCTCAAGGAAACTTTAGCATTGCAAAAGCGCTGTCTGATTCACGGTGCCTAACAATAACATGCAATGAAAGCTTTCCACAGTTTCATAGGAATGCAGAGAAATTCCAGATTTTCATTGTGGTGGTTTTGACTGACAGAGTTGAGGTCAAAGGAGACTGTCTCGCCACCACTGTGCTGTCAGGTCAGAAAGTTGCCCTCCTTGCTGGCACTGCCTTGTTTGCCGTGGCCCCGGGGCCACTCCTCTCGTGACCAGTTTTTCTGAATACCATCTCCGGTCGCCCACAAACCCTTTTTGAGATAGACATCTGCTTAGTTCAAAGTGATTTGTGCCCTTTGTTTTTTCTCCTGCTGCAGTACAACCCACTTACCACTCATAGACTAAAGTCTATGAGTGGTAAAGTCTAAAGTCTAAAGTCTAGTTAGTCTTTCCTCATTTACGTAGCCGTGGCCGTTGAAATGTGATCTTTTTTGTAGTCGACAGTTTGAAGGCCAACACTGAGGGAAAGCCAGACACAATTTATGATAAGAGAGACGATGCCTCGAGCAGAAGGGCCCGTGGGAAAAGACTCTACAAATATCCAGTGTGCTTAATTTCTTTTTTTTTTCTTGTGTGCTCTAAAATATTCAGAAAATTCCCAACAGATCCTGGTGCTCATCCAAGCGCAGCACTAATGTTTTATCATTGCCCACTGAGGATTTGACAAAAGCAAAGTCTTATGAGTGTTGAAGACCCTTATAAGCCCATTTCAAGTATTCACTGAGATGTCTGAAAAGTGATTTAGCAGCAACGCCAGCGTGATAGCTTCTATCAGCACTTGCTTTCCACGCTGCTCCTTTTGTGCCCAGCTCTCTCCTTCGTCTAATCTTCATGTCATGCTTCCATATGAAAGCTGATGAGAATTGATCTTTCTCTCTCACTCTGTTTGTATTCTAGTTGCAGCCCGAGCAGCTGGACTGCGGTGCAGCCCACCTGCAGCACCCACTGGCATTACAAAGACCCCTTAGGGCCATTCCTCTGCTT